ATTATATGCTGTACATAGATTAAAATCAAATAAAGTTAACTTAATCGACATTGTATATACCGTAGATGTGCTTGATTTTCTTTTATTTTCCACAAAGAAAGGGAATAAAAATACTTTTGCAATCTTGGTGTTGGTGATTTTGGTACCTAAAAACCAAAACCACAAATAATGCAATAGCATTGCGCCACATTTAAATAAAATTTTGGAGTTGCTGCTAAATTTTCCATTGCAAACCAGCACAAGCCTGGAATATCTGAAGACACCAACATGTGCATAACCAAGTCACGTCTAGTTCCATAAAAGCAGGGCTTTAGTGTCAACCAAAGTTCTCAGTGTATGATTCCCCAACAGGCTCAATTATACACCGCCACTGCCACTGGAAACTCCACTGTTGGAAATACAGTGTACAGCCTGCACTCATACCAGGAATTTCAAAGTTCTAGGACTTCGCTGTCACTGCAGGGGAATTTTCCTACTGTCATGGGAATCCATTTTTTTAAGTCAAAAAAGTTTTTTTTCTAATTTAATAGCACTCTATATTTGCTACTACACACCAGTTTGTTCGATTTTGATAGTTACTGCATGCAAAGGCGGAATAGGAAGTCACTTGCCTGATGCAGAGTACTTATAGCTTTCCAGCAGGATGGGAGGGGAAAAGAAACACTTGAGGATAGTGTGCAGGCAACGCTGGTCCCAGGAGTCTGTCACTCTTCCACCATAGGTGATCTCACCTTTAGGAGCATTAGAGAGTATGAAATTCATTGCCTAGATCAAAGACTGCCCTACTGCTGAAGCACGATTATTCACCGATGGATTCTGAGATCATGAGAATATCAAGATTGCAACATACAAAGAAGTCATTCAAGTGCAATTTTGTTTATGTACTATAATAGATTTGAACATATTTCACTCAAATATACAATTGTAATTTCTTGTTGTACAACACAATCTGCATATTCTTGTTACTTTCTAACTAAACAATAGCATCTAGACCTCGTCTTTGTGCTGATTGTAATTAGATTATGTTTTAGGGGTGTTAAAGATCTTAAGAAAACAATCGGTTTTCTCCCAAATCATTCAAAAGGGTTAGCCTTAAGAATGTTTTGGACATCCTAAAATCTCATGTCAAAACTGCACCTGATTCTTTGAGCACTTTAAAAATCTTTCATCATTCTCATTCTGCTGCAGGCTGGCACTGGGGTTCTCTGGTTTTAATGTGTGTAAAAACCGTACTATCATATTTTAAAGAGTGTATGGAACTTGCTACAGTATGTTATTTTACCCATTTCTAATTTATTGCCCAGCCAGTGTTTTGTGCTGTTTACACTGCCACCCATGATAGCACATCAGGAATTATATCCTTGTCCTATAAATTATTCTCTATGTAACATGTCAGAAAAAGAAAATAAAAACTCAATACTGGCCACACTTAATTTACTGTGGCACTTTTATTATATGCAAGGTGTATTTTCTAAGACAATATTGTTGGAAAAAAAAGTAGCAACCAATCTTAATTTATTTTCCACATACTAGCTTATTGATGCCAAACAGATAGTACACAAAATACATTAGACAACTTATTTCCATAAACTCTCATTTTCATTGACTTAATTTGAGAACTCAGGCAGACTAAGTCAATCAAAATATATTATCTCATGAAAATTGCAGTGAAGTTTGTGCCAAAAGGCAAATTTATTGGAACTGTCAACATAGAAGGCTATAATAGAACATAAGAAAATTAATTAATATAGGAATATAAGACATAGAAATAGTATTTATATTTAGTCCTTAAAATACTAGGCTGAAACAGAACTTGTCCAACAACTGAAAAATACTAATAGATAGATACTTTATTAATCCCATGAGGGAAATTGCAGAAAATATCAACTTTTGAGGAATTCAAAGCATGAAGTCAATGTACAGTATGTGCAAGGGAAAATAGTACGATTCTTTACATTTGTTAATTTGTACAAAATGGTGTTCAAACAGGAATATGATTATATCATCCAATATAAAGCATAGCTTGTCAGAAAAAAAGTGTCTTAAAATAAGTTCTTTCTGACAAAAAAAAAAATCAAAATTCAAGATTGTGGGTTATTTATGTGGGTAGATATACTGTACAGTGTTAGGTAATAAGTATGATTGTTCTTAATATATTACTGTATTGCAGTTATTATTTTGATTGTAAGAAGAAACAAGAGAAGTAAATTTCAGCTTAATCTTGCAGAATACAAAAGTGCAATAGTTTTGCACTTAATAGAAAACCTCTTTTACAGTAGCTGCAGAACAGAGTCCTGTCATTGTGCTGCTTTCTGAGACAGTTTGACAAACAGGATTTTAGATCTACATTTTTGTACATCAAACTTCATCTTGGCAGCATTACCACGTGGTCTTTGTGTGTGATTTATGGTATGAATGCTTTCACATCATTTTCCCATCACAACGGCTGACAAATAAGATTTTCTGGACTGCGTGTGAAAATAACCAATATTGCTACAGTATATGCATATTTAAATGTAAATTAAATCTAAGACTTTGAAATTGAACTATTGAACATATTGAACTAACTGAACATATATCACAAAACATACGGTATTGAGGTTGGAATGAATTCCTTTTGCAACAACAATGCAGACGTTAGGTCAGTATGAGCTAATCCATAAGCAATGGCATTGTCAATCGAAAAACAACACTGAATCAATGGTTAAAATAGAAGCAAAAGTAAACTAACAACCTTCCTACTAAAATGTCATGAATCTTGTGTCAATTTGGGTATTTCAATTCACATAATGTATTTTAGGCTCTGAAATGGCATAGGACCATAAGAATCATAAATAATGCAGTGATATGCAGATACCTCACCTGTAATGTAGATAAGTGCATCCCAGGGGATCTCTCCTTCTTGGCAATAGAGGTTTAGGTTGAGGAGAGCACACTCTCTATCACTGTCATTAAACTCATAGCGAATATTCCAGCCAAGTGGCCCAAACTTTTTCCTTTCCTGTAATTTAACAAAATATTAAAAAGCAACACTTACTCCTTGACATCAATTATCCTTTGTTAGTATTGTTATTAGCCATAAACGATCCCATATAATACAAATAATTAGAGAGACCCCACATCATCTATCAGAGAAAAAGTTAGTCTAGACAGAGTATGAGAGGCAAGCCATGCTGTATGCTTGTACAGTATGTTATTTAAAGAAACACAATACCATAAATTCAAAAGTGGTTTCATTTCAACTATTTAATGATGCATATACTGTATTTACCTACAGTAGAGTCTATTCTTAGTCACACATTCTAAGTGTAATATCATGTATAATCAATTTTATATGCATGATAGGATCTTGCCTTAAGTGAGAGCTGTTTCCAATTTACCCTGTATAGTAGTTATATCTGATGAGTGTAGGATGGCAATCACAGAAAGAAACGAAGGAAGGAAGAAAATGTTACAAAGACCTACGAGAAGCAGCGTGGCGGAGTTCTCCAGAAAACACACATTAACCAAGATGTAATGCAGACATAGGAAGAGAGAATGGCAAAATCAAAAGTTACAGGAAATTGAGAAGTTATACCATAACAATTATACCATAACGTGATCGGCGATGAAAGAAAGATACTCAAACGATGGGTGGAGTACTTTGAAGAACTGCTGAATGACATCGGCAAGATGGATGAGCGCCAGGGGAGGATGAGATAACGGCTGTGATGCTGAAATATGGCAGAGAAGAACTGGCGAACAGCCTATACAAGCTAATAAGTGGGATATGGGTGGAAGAAAATATGCCGGTACGAATGGAGTGTTACCATTGTTTGCCTCATTCACAAATAGGAGTCAAAACTAGACTGCTTGAAGTACCGTGGGATCTCCCTGCTGAACTTTACATATAAGGTTTTCACAAAAGTCCTAGCCAGTCACTTAGAAGCCCACGCTGAGCATCCTTGGAGACTACCAGTGTGGGTTTCGATGTAACCGGTCAATGATGGATCATATATTCACTATCAGATGCATCTTAGAGAAGTGCTATGAATATAACACTGATTGTCCATCAACCATTCATAGATTACAAGCAAGCATATGATAGTGTTGATAGAGCATACTTGTACAAGACGCTAGGACAGCTAGGACTAGTGCAGAAGTTGATCAGGCTGGTAAAGATGACCATGACCAAAACAAGTGGTAAGGTGCAGGTGCAGAACCAAGTATCATGCGAGTTTCATGTGAGATGAGGCCTTAGAGAAGGAGATGCACTCTCCTGTTTACTATTCAGCTTGGTTCTAGAATCAGTGATACGGAACATTGATATCAACAGAGGAGGAACAATATTGGATAGATTGGGACAGTATTTAGCCTATGTGGATGACGTCGATTTGTTGGGTAGGAACGTCTGGACACTTAAAGAAAACTTGATTCAGCTGGAAATATGGCAAAGACCAAATACATGGTGATGACCAGGAAGGACACCATCACCAGCAATGCACCGCTCCAAATCCAGGGCTACCAGTTCGAGTCAGTCAGTACTTTTATATGCCTGGGTTCACTGATCTCCGAGAAAAATGAAATCAGCCTGGAAATTAGAGTGAGAGAATCAATGCAGGAAATCGATGTTACTTTAGTGTGCAGGACCTGATGGAGACCTGATGGAGACTTTTGTCAAGGAGGGTAAAGAGGGTGATATATCGGATCGTTATTCGCCCTGTGGTTACCTACACAGAGGAGACATAGGTGCTGACAAAAAGAGATGCATACTGTAACTCATCTTAATACATGGGAGAGGAAGATACTCAGAAAGATCTATGGGCCAGTTCTGGAAGGAGGAGAGTGGCGAATAAGAACCAACATCGAGCTCAACAAAGTGTATGAGGATCCCCCGAGAACCGGGGAGGAAAGAGCAGCACGACTACGCTGGCTTGGACATCTAGAGCAGATAGAAAGGGGTATGGAGAGTCTTCCATCAAAAGCCGGAAGGAAGGTGGCTTCAAGGGCATCCCCGCAAGAGGTGGATGGACGATGTTGAAGGAGACCTCAGAAAGTTGAGAGTGAGAGAATGGCGAAAACTGGCTCAGAACGGAGATGAGTGGAGGCCTGGGTTCTACTAGGGCCATAGTGCCATGGGGTTAGGTTAGGTTAGTAGTTATATAAAAAAAGTGTCTTGCCCTGTAAAACAGGAACATTTACGTGAAAATAAAATTCTAATTTAATATTTCGTTTGAAAATTAATCAAATAAACAAATTAAATATCAAAGAAAAACAATATAGAAAATCTGGTAGCTTAGAGTGTGTTACTCTGTAGTTTTAAATTGCAAAGCATACAGTAAGTTGTTAATAGTATGAAAAAAACTGAATTGACATCTCTAGCAAATGCACATAAATAGGAACGTGTACAATCCACATACATGGTAAGACAAAAAAAGAGAGAAAGTGCATTTCTCAGGGGTAATGGTGTAAGTTCTCCAAAAGCTATATGATTAACCCTGAAATTAAATGAGAATCCTTGCCTGGATTTAACAAGGACAATAAGTTGAACATATTTTTCAGAATTAAATGTGGCACTAAGCACATCAATTTAATATGATCTAAAAATCAAGGAAACTAAAATATTTCTGTTTTAAAATGTTTAAGGGATTAGTCTTTTTAATATTCTAAAAACATATTTGAAATCTCTTAAAACCAAAGACTCTGAGGAATTTATGTCCCTTACTCTGGAACTGTACTCTGTAGGTGTGAAGAAATAGTATAACACAAATCTATACCTGAATTATAGCATGGAAAAAGCAGATTCCAAAAACGATTTTCCTCCACTTTCTTCCAAGAATGTGTTCTTCAAAAAATGTGTTTGAGATTTCTGTAAAGGCTCTTCGAATGTTTGCCCTCAGTCCTTTTGGGGGCTCATTGGTTACCTAAAGAAAAAGAGGGTAATGTGGTAGCCTTTGGCCTGTAAAGATTTTTCCTCAATACAGGTTTTGGATGCATATTAAGTTTTTCTATGTTTTAATGAGCAGTTAAAAAGAGAATTCCATAATTGTAAGTGGCATACAATTTGCAGTTGCCAGCTTTCATATTAATAGAGCAGCTTATTTTTTAAAGGCAACTGCTTATTTATTTTTCTTTCTTGTATAATCTTCCCCAGAGCAATTCTTGAGAACCTTATTAACATTTTAATCAAATAAATTAACATCAGCTACACCTTTTACGACACAGACAGCTTAAGGGGCTAATTAAAACCACTGGTATTTTCTTAGCAGGCAAGAATAAAATCCAGGAATACGGTCAAAAACAATTTACACTTTACAATAGGCAAGGATTTCTAAGTCAGTATTGGAGGAACCCATTCTTGTTATGAGTTAACAATTAGGCCCTCAAACTTGTTTTACTGTTTTGCTCATTTCCATCTGGCTTAAGTTTCTCTATGTCTTTTCACTTAACGGTTTTTCTTTTTTTGCTTTATTCAGCATCATGAAAGGAAACAGGAATCTTGGCTAATTAGGGGTCTTGGTTAATTGCCCACGACTGACCTAGGTGCCTAGCTTTCTGACCTTGTTTACACTTTATATAGTTATAAACTAACCAATCATTAAAATCTATGCTTTTGCATGGAAATTCTGCTCATCTTCAAGAACAAAAGCCTGTTGATGTTCATAAAGTGAGTGAGTGACGAGGTTAACCTGTTAACTTTGTCTATCTTTTCATTATACAGTTGTAATAAAGAAATCTCCAGCTTTATTTATCAGAGTCATGTGGTTTACTGAGAAAAGGGTCTAACACTATTTTTTAATAAATCCTGGAAAATGGCTCCAGGATTCAACTGAAGTTGTGCTGCTTCTACCTTTCAGTGAGACAGTTAGAGCACATTGAAAACAATTTTACACACACTCATTACTTTCTATGATGTTTAGAAAGATATTAAAAGTGCATGGTATTTAAATAGTAAGTGATATCAACCCCAGAATGCATATACAGTACAATACATTAAGACATAACAACCACAAAAACAATAATAAATGCTATTTTGACAAACTGTATCAAGAGATGCTGCCGGGCAATTTAAAAAAAATCAAAATCATGACCCAGGATTTGTCTTTTTCTTATACTACATGTATTTTACTTACTGTAGCTGTAAAATTGAACAGGTTAACTCAAGCTTAGTGTCAATCAATAAACAAGACAGTAAAAGAAGATAAAATGCTCCTATTGTACAAGTTGGCAGTGTGGAGAATTGTTCAGGCCTCTGGAAGTGTAACTAGAAAGTTGTAGGTTTAATTTCCAGATGGATGTACTGCTGTAGTACCCTTGAGTATGCACTTAACACATGTTGCTACAGTAAAAATACCAAAGTGTATAATTATCCTAAATTATACATTTACATTAATATTAGTAATAGTGTGGTTCCTTACTTACTATTTTTAATGGAAAGCACTTACTGCATTCACTCACACATATTGGAATAATGTTGTCCTGTAGGTAACTTGGGAGATTATATTAACCTTTAGGAAAGGTTAAATAGGTTAAACCATAATAATTTAAGTCATTAGAATCTCAGAAGAAATGTCAACCATAAACTCCTGCACCACTACTT